GAGAAGTATGGGGATTACAGAACACTTCGTTGTGCTCATTCAGACTTGCACATGGATCAGGAGGCAGTTATAAGAATAGAACAAGGGAACACTACAGGGTTTAACATCAGGAAAGCTTTGTGTCAGGGTTGTATCTTCTCACCATACTTGTTCAACCCATATGCAGAGCAAATCATCAGAGAAGCTAGGTTATATGAGGAGTACCACCGCCCCGAAATGGAGTTGTGCTGGGTGGAGCAGAGCTTCTGTAGTACGCTTTTCCCCCATAGGCAAGCATTGAGCACTCTGAGTTGGTGCACCCAATGGCATTGCCTGGGTAGGTTATGGTCACAGTGAATTTTTTTGTAAAAGCAGTTTCACTTGAACCTTGTTTTTTGTGATGGTCTATTTAAGAGAAGTGTGCAGCTGTGAAATTATGTTTCCTGCTTGGGAAAATGCCGCAGAAACTGTTATGTTGATCACATTTTACAAGGACAGCACTATGGGAAAAGCTCAAGTGTATTAGTGGTTTTCTTGTTTCAAAAAAGGTGAAATGACAAACTTCATTCTGGATGCCCGTCAACTTCCTGAACAGACAAGAATATTAACTCTAAGTGCATTTGGAGTTCGTCGCACCAGGTCAGACTGGTGGAACCCTCCTATTTAGAGGTTCTGAAAAGATTGCATACAGTGTACAACAAAAAGGCCTGATTTGTGGCAGATGGGTGATTGGTTTTGTCACCACAACAATGTACCTGCTCACGCAGCCATCTCAGCGTGCCAGTTTTTGGCAAAAAACAGCAAGCCTCTCTTGCCCCGTGCATCTTACTCACCTGACCTCGCTCTGTGCAACTTCCTTTTGTCTGTGTGAATGAAGAGGGACATGAAAGGACAGCGATTTGATGACAGAAGAGGTGAAGAAAAAAGTGAGGGAGGCTGTCAGCCATCCAAACAGATGAATTCAAAAAATGTTTCCAAAAGTGGAATCGCAGATTTAACAAATGTATTAAGTGTAAGGAGGAGTACTTTGAAGGTGATAAGGTTGTTTTGTAAAAAAATTTGAACACATCACTTTGAAAAAATTTTTCCAGTTTTTCTTCATATGAAGAAGAGTGTGGCATCAGGACTGGAGGAAGGCTTATTAACAACCTGCTATATGCAGATGACACAACCTTGCTTGTTGAAAGAGAGGAGGACTTGAAGCATTTGCTGATGAAGTTCAAGGATTGTAGCCTTCGATATGGGTTACAACTCAGTGTAAAGAAGACCAAAATCCTTGCAAGTGAACCAATAGGTAACATCATGATAAATGGAGAAAAGGTTGAAGTTGTCAAGGATACTGTCTTACGTGGATCAATAATCACTGCTCATGGAAGTCACAATCAAGAGATCAAAAGACGTGTTGCATTTGGTAAATCTGCTGCACAAGACTTCTTTAGAGTATGAAAGAGCAAGGATGGTACTTTGAGAACTAAGGTGCGCCTGACCCAAGTTTTGGTATCATATGCACGTGAAAGTTTGATATTGAATAAGGAAGACCAAAAAAGAATCAGTGCATTTGAATTGTAGTGCTAGCGAAGAACATGGAAGGTGCCATGGACTGCTAAAGGGACAAGCTGTTCTGTATTAGAAGATGTACGTCCAGAGTGCTCCTTGAAGCAAGGGTGGCAAGATGTGAGAAACTGAGGACCGGGAAAAGAGTGTATGCAAACAAATTATTTATTCTCAGATTTAAGAAGCCTCGGAGGCCAAGGTTCTGGGTGGAGGGAAGCCTTCACACTTGAGAGTTAGAGATGAGTCCCAATCACATTCTCATTATTAAGATTAATCCCCACAATATCCTCCCATAATAGTGCTACCTTAACATTACCTCTTACAAGCACATGGCTGATTGCCATCTGGTTAACAGCCTTATCTATAGGAGCAGACATGTTGCTATTGCTCTCCTGCTCAGAGGACAGTCACTCCCCATTACCTGCCCCAGGTACTGGTGTCAGGTTACTCCTCCAATGAACTCAGGGACCTCTAGTGTTAAGGTACTGCCCACTTTGTTACCTATGTGGTTATCTCTAATTAAGGGCTTGATGCTGTGGGAAACTGAGAACTGGGAAGAGAATGTATACAGACAAATTCTCTAGGCTCCTATTTTAATGAGTCTGGGAGGCTGAGGCTCTCATGGAGGAAGGCCTTCACACTGTGAGTTGGAGATGCATCCCAGTCACATTCTTCTAAGTAAAAGTTGTTTCCCACAATGTCCCTCTCTAATAATGCCAGTTTTAAAGTGCTGCTTGCAAGCACATGTTTGCTTACTATATTTTTGAAGGTTATCTGCCATTAAAAGCAATCAGACCATCTTGCTCTAAGTCCAGCCCATTCTCTTCTGATAAGGATCATAGATTGTTCCCCTGTCTGCAGAGCTCAGGGACAGTTAAGATCAAGTCAGCTCAGAGAGGACTAACGTTAAGCTGCCGTCTTAACTCTACAAACCGCCCTGCTTGTTACATATGTACCTTCCTGCCACGTGTATGCCTCTACCTCCCCTTCCTGTTCTGTGTATGAACATACATACATAATGTTATGTATGTCTGTTATGTGTTTGCTTACCGGGTCTTGCTTGCCCAAGATTATATAAGCCTCGTAAGAGAATGCATTCCGCTTGCCAGGCAACAGGTGAGTCCTTGCACGTCTTGTCTGATGTTCCTTTCATTTACCCTTTAATTATACAACCACCCTCTAGGACCCATTTGGATGTGGAGGCTGGTGTACCTGACAAAATTTTTTGTATCACAGCATGCCCTGAGACTATGTAAGTTAATGTGAGAATACATTTTCTCTCACTCCTGGACCTGGTTCCTGAAACCATGGAGGAGAAAAGCACCCCCAAAACTTTTGTCTGCCTCTTAATTTCTTCCCTTCAATTACTCAACCATCCCTTAGCACCCATCCAGATGTGGGCTGGATCCCACAGCAAGACTTAGTCTTACATACTTTAGACATATTGACAGGAGAGACCAGTTCCTGGAGAAGGACATCGTGTTTGGTAAAGTGGAGGGGTGACGAAAAGGAGGAAGACCCTTGGAGAGATGGACTGACACAATGGCTGCATCAAGCTCAGGCACAGTTGTGAAATGGGGCAGGACCATGCAGTGTTCCATTCGGTTGTGCATAGGGTTGTTTTGGTTTGGAGCCAACTGGATAGCACCTAACACCAATACAGAATGTCAAGGAGCCCTGGTGGGTAGTAGGTTATCTATTGGGTTGCTAGCCCTAAGGTTAGCAGTTCAAACTCACCAGCAATGCTGTATGAGCTCTCTACTCCAGTTATGATTGACAGCCTCAGAAACCCACAGGGCAGTGATACTCTGCCCTACAGGGTTTGCTGTGAGTCAGAATCGACTTGATGACTGTGGAATTATAGTTTTACAGAATATGTTTTGAGACAGATTAGGAAAAAAGCTGGGTTCTTCCACCCCTTTTTTGCAAGGTCAGCTGATGTTGAGGCATTTCCCAAGCCAACATGTATGAACTTAAGCACATCCACATCCACTTGTTGCATTTCACAATAGCTTGTGTCATGGTCAATCCTCACCCCCTCTGTCCCCACGAATGTGTTCTCCTCTGTACAAATATGTTTTAGTCCCACAGCACACCCCTCTGACCAGCTTTAACTAGCGAGAGAGTGTTGTAGAAATCCAGAGTCTGCTATAGGCAATGGTGCAAGAAAATGAGTGGGTACTTCCAAATTCTGGATCCCGACCGAAGGGTGAGCAGGCTTTTTAGACTTTTCTACCTCCAGTACGTAAGAGGAGGGGTTCTACGAATGGAAATGTGCAAATGTACAAAAACAGGTTCGGTCATAGCAAGGAAACAACGTTCAGGGAAATACATTGGTGGCTCATCCTGCGGTCATGGGCTCTTCCTGGGTTGGAGGAACCTCACCTGCAGTTGCTTGTAGCCCTGGAGCCATTCTGATAAACTTGTTTTTCCACTTCTGCTGGAGCAGACATCCACACCACAAGTTAAAGAGCACAGAACGCCAGTGCAAACCCTAGAACCAGGAGGAGCATGTGCACGATCCCGAAGCCTCTACAGGGGACTCCATTTTTTCACACCTGTTGTGCGTACACCCAATAGCCATAACCCCGCTCGTGTCGCCTAAATCCCTGGAATTCTCCACCTCTGTTCATGAATAAACATAACGTCCTAAACTTGAAAACGTCTCCCTCTTCCTTGTTCAGAGAGACCATAGACTGCCTTGACCTAGGGTGTCTATCTCGTTTCCAGTCACAAGCTAATTCCCCTCCCTAATCTTTGCTTGCGCGGTAGGACTGGCTCCAGGCCTCTTTATTCGGAACCAGGCACGGAAAGGGAGCCCCTCTGTAGGGGAAACCCCGTAACAGTCTCCATTGGGGGGGGTGTTTGCCCTGCAAGCGTGTGCTACGGAACCTAGAGCGAGGACGCCCCGCTCGGCCTCAGCGGGAAAAAAGAAGTCGCTGGTCCGGTGGGTTTTCTGGCCGTCGCGCTGGGACAGACACGTCACTCGGATGCGCCGGTGACGTCAGGCCCAGGCGCGAGTTGCGGAACGAGCTCCCGTGGGAGAGCTGCCGCGGGGCCTTCGCGCTCGCTCGCGGCCTTCAGGGTGCACACAGCCGAATAGAGACTCGCTCGAGAAGCGCTACCAGGGTCCTGAAGGTGTTTGAAGAAGCGAGAGCGGAGAAATTCTGGCCGCCATGGCTGCCGTCCACTAACCACCTGTGTCAGGAGGAGCCCTTAGGCGGGCCAATGGGAGCCGCCGGCCGCGAGGATTCTGGGGACTGTAGTTCGGGGTGGTTCCGTGGTCGCCGCCTGCGAAGACCGCCCTGGTCCCGGACCCATCTTCCTGCCCGGTAAGGGGGCTGCGCCTAGAAGGTTGAGCCCAGCTGGCGGCCCCGCGGAGGGATTGGAGCCCGGCGGCGGGGTGCGGACCGCGCTTCTGGGAGTCAACGCGCAGTTTTCATTGTTGGGAACGGGCTCTGCTGACGTGCCTCGGTGGCAGGGAAATCGGGGGAGTTGGAGCCGTGAACCCTTGAGTTTCTTTGCCCTGCCTGGACCTAGGATTTGAGTTAGAGCTGGTGAGAAAGTGAGTTGGAAGTGGGAATGAGGTTACTCCAGGACAAACAATCCGGGACTTCACAGCCCCTGGGGTTATTGGAGCTGCGGGCGTGAGTTCAGGCAGGAGCAAATAGACGAACACACGGTGTTGGTGGGAGCCCAGGTAGGGCTCTAAGACCGGTTTTTAATATGTGTCTGTCTGTGAGAAGTTCTGCACTTCCTGGTCACGGGGAAATCTCGAATTTGCCATGCATGTCAGCTGTCTTTGCTATTGGTAGGGGTTGTAGCCCTGGTGGCTGGCGGATTAAGCACTGGGGTGCTCACTGCAAGATCAGCAGTTCTAAATCACCCAGCGCTCCAGCGAGGAAGACGAGGCTTTCGGTTCCCAAGCGCCGACTCTCACGGGGCAGTTCTACTCTGTCCTACAGGGTCGCTGGGAGTCAGAATGGACTTGATGATAGTGTTTGGGTTTTTGAGTTTAGAGCTATCCCAGATGGTAATTGGAGGGGGTGAGGTGCGGGGCGGCCAGGTCTGGATCTGCTGTGCCTGAGGGTTGGTGAGGCGGTGAGATTGATATTAGCATAATCCCCCTAGCAGGACATTCTGTAGTCTGCTTTGTGACTGTCATCGCCTGGGGTGCTGGGGCCCAGTGGTTTGGGGCTGCCAGGGCTGTCAGGCAGGGCAGAAATTGAGGGCTGTTTAACTGACTGTCCAGATCACCTCCAGCGGCTCTGGTGGCATCCAGCCTTCAGGGATTTCAGGTTTTTACATTTGTGTTAAGAACACATTTTAAACTTTCTCAGCATAGTAGAGTGGAACGCATGACCCCACCAACAGATGTAGCATTTATTAATTCATGTCAAGTCTTGTTTCAGCTACAGAGATGTCCTGAAGATGACATGTTAATATGCTTGTACCATGGCATGCAGGATTGAGAGTTTCATCAGCTATCTTCGTCCTGCTCTTCTTGTTCCATCCAGTACTCCCCAGCCACCCTTTCTGCTTTCCCGGCAGTGGTATTTGGAAGGAGATCCTTGACACCACACCATTCACCAGCAAATACTCCATGATATGTTGCCAAAAGATTAAGATTGTTTTCTTTTTCTTTCCTTTTTTAAAACAGTTTTATTGACACATAAATTACATAGTATACACTTCCTTGTTTATAAATACTTTTATTGGGGGGTTATCCATTATATCAATTGTATCAAGCACATTTGTACATACGTTACCATCATCATTCTCAAGCATTTTCTTTCTACTTGAGTCCTTGGTCTCAGCTCCTCTTTTTTCCTTCCGTTCCCCACCCTTTGACCCTTGTGAGCCCTTGAGAAATTATAAATTATTATTATTTTCATATTTTTAAGGTAATTTTATTGGGGCTCTTACAGCTCTTATAACAATCCATCAGTTGTTTCAGGCATATTTGTACATATGTTGCCATCATCATTTTCTAAACATTTACTTTCTATTTGAACTCTTGGTATCAGCAACTCTTACCCCACTTCCCATCCTCGTGACCCCCTTGATAAATTATAAATTAATATAATTTTCATATCTTACACCTTCCATTTCTCCCTTCACCCACATTTCTTGTTTGTCCCTCTGGGGGCGTGTTAAATGTCAATCATTGTGATTGGTTCTCCCTTTCACCTTCTTCTCCCCACACCTAACCCCTACGCTCATGGTATCACTACTCCCATTACTGTCCCTGAGGGGTTTCTCTGTCCTGAAATCCATGTGTTGAGAGCTCTTATTTGTACCAGTGTACATGCTCTGGTCTAGCAGGATTTGTTAGGTAAAACTGGGGTCATGGTAATTGGGGAAGGAAGCATCAGACCTAGAGGAATGTTGTGTTTCATTGGTGCTATACTGCACCCTGGTTGACTCATCCCTTCCTTGTGACCCTTCTGTGAAGGGATGTCCAGTTGTCTACAGATGGGCTTTGGGTCTCCACTCCGACCTCCCTCATTTGCATTGATATGAATGTTTGTTTTTGGTCTTCTGATGCCTGATATCTGATTGTCAACACCTCATGATCACGCAGGCTGGTGTGCTTCCATGAGGGCTTTGTTGCTTCCCAGCTAGATGGCCGTTTGTTTATCTTCAAGCCTTTAAGACCCCAGATGCTATATCTTTTGATAGCCGGGCACCATCAGCCATGTTCACCACATTTGCTTATGCGTGCGTTTTGTCTTCAGTAGTCTTGTAGGGAAGGTGAGCATCGCAGAATGCCAGGTGTTTAGAACAATTTTCTTGCTTTGAGAGAGGACTTGAGTAGAGGCCCAAAGTCTATCTGCTACCTTAATACTGAACATATAAATATTTGTACATGGACTTATATCTCTCTACATATCCATGCCTATAGTTATACATTTATAAATGGCTTTTGCCTTGTAGTTTTTTCCTTGTATCCTCTATTTCCTTTTACTTTCCTCCTGCCCCACTATCATTTCAACCTTCATTTGACTCTCTGTAATTCCTCTCAGCTACGTTGCACTTCATCAAACCCCACCAGGCATTCTATGCCCTCCTTGCCATCAATTTTAGATCTCTTGCTGTTCCCTTGTCCCTGGTAGTGTTGGTTCCCCCTTTGCTTTCTCCCTCCTCTTCCTCTCCCATGCCCTCCTCCCCCATAGCTCTGGATCTCTTCGTTTTCTCCTCAGGATTGTAAACAATCCAGCCTTTCTTATATAGATAGACATGGGGGGTGGGGGGTGGAAGCACCTATAAATAGTTCCAGGTCTGTCTGCTGACCCTTATGAATGTTTTCCAAAAAGCCTGATGATGTGCCAAGCCCTGCACCCTGAATCAGAAGTCTATTTTCAGAATTCCTCAGATTTCATTGGTTCACTCCCCTTGCTGCTCTGTTGCACTCCCTTCTTGTTTCAGCCTGGTGTGTGTGTGTGTGTGTGTGTGTGTGTGTGTGTGTGTGTGTGTCAGACCAGGCACAAGTCCTGCACTGTGTCTCCAGTGCTGTCCTCCATAGTGCTGTGGGTCGGCGAAGGGATGTTGGGTCTCATGGTGGGGCCATCCTTAAGGTCCTCTCTGTGCATTGGCTGCTCTGAGCAGGAATGTTGTCCTCAAGGCTTGGTGGGCCAGGATGCAGTGTTTTCTCTCTCTCTTACCCTCCCCCTCTTAGTTTGCTTCTGTGTGGTCTGGGCAGACCTGCCACTCTCCCTGGGCTGTAGCTTGAGTGCATTCTTCTTGGGAGGGGGTCAATGTAGCTGGGATTGGGGCTGGCCCCACAGCCCTCTCTGTTCATTTGTTGCTCCATGCTGGTAAGTTGCCCTCAAGGCTTGGCACCCTGGGATGAGGTCTGGTCCCTCTCTCCTTTTCCTGTGGAGACATAACCAAGCTCCTCCCAGTGGGTGGGTTAGTTCCCTGTTCCCCTCTATCCTAGTCATTTTTTCCTCGTCCTTTTTAGTTGGCTGCCATATGCATCCCTGGATTGGGTCTGACCCCTGCCAGAGCACCTGGACCTCACCCCGGGAGCGTATGCAGCATACACTTCAATAGTGCAGTTGTTCAACCATATCAAGGAGAATTGTACAATCATCACCATGTCAATTGATTGTTTTCTGAAACTGTAATCATAATGCTATTATTAAGAGTCAGCCAAACTAAAAACAGTTCCTTAATGCCCCAATACCCAATTTATTTTGAACTTTTACCTTTGTCTTTAAATGGCATTTTACATTTCAAACTGTTTACATAAAGTAGGTGATTCAGGCAGCCTGAGAATATTTTTTGAGGACTTGTACCCAGGAAGACAGACTGGACCATGCCCATCAAAACCTACTTCCTTAAGCAACAGGCTTCCAAACAAAACTCACTGTCACTGAGTCAGCTTACATTCAGTCACCCTGTAATGCAGGGTAGAACTGAGACTAGCTCTGTACCGAACTAGGAAACTCATCTCTCTCTTGCTAGTGGTTCTGAACTGCTGACCGTGCAGTTGGCAGCCCAACATGTAACCATCAAGGCCTTGGAGCAGCAGGTTGGAGAGTGTTTTACAGTTCGGGCTTGGGTTATCAGGTAGGCCCTCTCGTTTTCAGATTCTTTCTGCTAGGAGGTGCAGGTATTGTCAGCTGAGTCATGGCCTTTAGATGGGGTTCATCTGAACTTTCAAAGGGTCAAAGGCACAGTTTGTTTCTTCATGATGATTGCTGGCAGAATGGCCTGGGCTGGTAATTCCTCAGACCTGGGTTGATTGACATCTCTTGAATAATTCAGCATTAATTGAATTTTAATCTGGTGAGGGAGGCCCTCCCCTGGGACTGATAAATGTCAGAATATATTCGTATCTGAATAGCAGAGGGGTTTGTTTGTTTTCTCCACCCTCCCCATAGCCTTCAGAGTCTGCTCCTGGAGTGGGTGTTGGGTTGGAAACACAGCCTTGTGATTGACAGCCCAGTGCCTAGTTAAGCTCTTGACTGTCACCTACAAGGTTGGCATTTCAACCCATTCAGAAGCTCCTGGGAAGATAATTCTGACATTCTTCTGGAAGGTCTCAGCCTTAAAAAAAAACAACCCAGTAGAACAGTTGTACTCTGCACTTGTTTGGTTTGAATCAACTAAATGCAGCTAAAACCAGCAAAAAGGCAGCGGTGGATTGTAGTCTTATGGGCTAAAACCCTGACGTGGGTGTGTGAGAGCCTTTAAAGGTAGCATGACTCCTAAGGATGGAGAGAGTTCTTCTTACAGCCTTGGGACATGGAGAAGGACATCGTGCTTGGTAAAGTAGAGAGGCCGGGAAAGAGCAGAAGGCTCTCAAAGAGATGGGTGGACACAGTGGCTGCACACTGCTCAAGCACGGGAACGTTAGGAGAATGACTCGGGACCGAGCCCTTCTCTTCTGTTGTGCAGAGGGTTGCTATTGGAACAGACTGTACCACCTGCCTGCTCTGGGCTACATGCGGGGTCCAGATGACCACATGAGTGGAGGATTTTGACGGATGGAGTTCAGTGGCACACATGCGCGCACACACACACACACACACACACGAAAAGAGATGGAGGGGGCGTGTTATATGTGTAGAACTCATGCTGAGACTTGGACAACTCAGTTCTGACCCCCAGCTCTTCAGAGCGCAGGGACGTAGGGCATTGAACACAGCTGAAACCTTTTGAGTCAGGCTCTGACTGCCACCTGCCCTATGAGTCTGCAGGGAGATGCAGGGGGCTCTTTCTCCACAGCTATTAGGCTGTGTGCTGTCTTCTGACTCAGCTAGCAGAAACTGATCCGTGCCAGGGAGTTTGAATCCGAGGTGTGTAGGTGTGGGTGCACAGTACATTTTGACGGGTAAGGTAAAGTGGCTTATAGGCCAAAAATGAATAAAGTCCGGAGAACTTGAGTAGACTGGGGCTCCATGATTGTTGAATGAGGGTGTGAGGGGCCAGGATCCCTTCTGAAGCAACTTAGGCTTAGAGCACGCAAAGGGTCCACAGCATAAAGTTGCTTCTCCATCCCACAGGACCCGTATGCGTGGAAGCCAGAGAGGCTATCAGAGCTGAAGTGTGAAGCCAGCCCGGGCAGTAGAGCTACGTCTTCAGATTAAATGACTTCCTCATAGCTGTAGGCGGCTTTCAGAGCAGTGCCTGGACTGCAGCTGGGGGACTTTATCTTCCAAGAGCAGGGAAGATATGGAGACAGAGGAGAACTGGACTCAACCCCAAAAGGCCGAAGGTGAGAGCTGTTGAGAGTTGGGGAGGTGCAGGGGGACATGGCCCCAGGAACAGGTGAGAATGCTGTGGTGCCATGTCCTCCCGTCCCTGGTTCAGAAGAGCTACTCTAGGAGCATTGTGGGAGGTCTGGCTTCTCACAGCTTGTCTTTCTTCCCTTAGGTTTGTCTTCTGAGGAGACCGACTGGCCCCAAGGGGAGAAGGGGCAGCCCATGATCGTGGTGAGTGGGAATTACCCTGTTTTTCTGACCTACAGGCTGATTTTCTAGAGAAGTCGGCTAGAGTATTCCTTACAGGCAAGGATAGCAAGACTTAGTCTTTCCTACTTTAGACTGATGGTCAGGAGAGACGTCTTGCTGATGAAGAGAGGAGGGGCGGTGAAAACGAGGAAGGCCCTCCACTAGCTGGATTGGCACAGTGGCCGCCACGAGGAGCTCACGCACAGCCACACTTGATGAGGGCGCTGCAGGCCGGGCCGTGTCTCATTCAGTTCTGCACAGGCTCCCGAGGACTGGGAATTGCCTCGATGGCACCTAACAGCAACACGCATACCTGCTCTTTCTGAGAGGCAGAAGGCGAACAGCATCCGGGCGTGTCGTGCCTTTGTGTCAGTATCATGTTAGGGTGGCTTCTTCACATCTGCATTCTGTGTTTCTTCTTGGAATATATACTCAAGATTAACATGAAGACTATAGAAACTCTAATAAAATGTCCTGCTAAATATGATGTGCGCCCACATAGACATTATTATCTCATGATGCTATCTTGTACCCTGGGCATGTTTTCACTCTTTAATTATTGAACTTGTTAGAAATGATCATAAAAATAGTTCTTGGGTAGTGTCATGTAGTTTCAACTATCACTTATGCTGTAATAGCCAGTCTTACAAGAATGTGACTTTTTTTTAATTTTCAATTTTAAAATCTTGAATTTAAAATATTCCTTTAAAAACTTGTCTGCTCGGAACAGCAGGGGAGGGGAGTAGCAAGATCCCCAGGGAATGATGAGGGTGGACATTGG